CGGGCTTGGGGTGTCTCATGAGGCTGCTTACAGAGGGGAGCACAGCTGGGGTTGGAACACTCAGGGTGGCCTCTCAGTCCTCCAAGCAAGACTTGTCAAACTATGACACCCTGCCCCAGGCCGAAGCCGAAGCACAGCCTGTTTCTGTTCTGCCACAGGCCAAGAATAGTTTTTACATTTTTAAATGGTGGAAGAAAATCTAAAGGAAAACATTTCATGACATGAAAAATATTGAGATTCAAATTTCGGTCTCCATAACATTTTACTGGAGCCCGGCCCCGCCCCGCTCACTGTTCGCATACTGTTTACAGCTGCTTTGGCACGGCAATGCTAGAGCCACATCAGAGTTCCTTAGGCTTCTTCCTAATCTTTACCGAAATTTACATTTTGAAAAGAAGTACTTGGAATAAAAACAATTGTAACTGTTTAACTGTCAAAGCTACCTTTCTTTGCTACTGCAGTGCAGCTGAGAATCTACTTCCAAACCAAATCATAAGCAGGTTTCTCTTACTCCACCAGCTACAGCATGCAATTGGAGGCTTGCAATTATTTTATTTAAAAGAGGAGAAATGAGGCGCGCCTGGGTGGCTCAGGTTATGGTCCCGGGGTCCTGGGATCAAGCCCCAGGTCAGGCTCCCTGCTCAGCGGGGAGTCTGCTTCTCCCTCTGCCTCTTCCCCCTGCTTGTGCTTGCTCTGTCTCTCCAATAAATAAAATCTTAAAAAAAAAAAAAAGAGGAGAAATGAAATACATGCTGATTTTTTAAAAAGGGGAATTGGAAACAAATATCATTTCTGGTTTTACAATACGAACCCCAAATGCCTTTCTAAACAATAGCCGGAAAACGATGACCATGAATAGATACAATCCCGTCCCTTAGAGAACTCCGTCTGGCAGACAGCTGGACAAGTAAACAGTGTGGTGCAGAAATTAATAACTGACCATTGAGGAGCACAAGTATGATGGCAGCACAGAGAGCAGGCACCCAACCTGGCTTAGGAAGGTCTTGGGTGACTTGCTCAGGGAACTGATGGGAAGGAAGACAGACTGGATTGGCCCAGAAACCTTCCCAGGTAGCCCCCTAGGGCCTGATGGAGAGCAACCTGCCACAACCAATGATGCACTGACCTTGATTGGCGTACTCATTCATCTTCCTCCACAAAGTTGTGAATTCCTTTAAAGGCAGAAATTGGGTTATTTGTCATTTCATCTACAGTGCCTGCTGTATATCTACAGGGCCTGATGCATTAAGAACAACCTGATAAATGAATATGCACAGGTTTCTAGGATGAAAATATCTCTTCTCTAAGATAGGTTACTGTTTAAAGACCATGTTGTATGTCTATGCCACGATATATTAAAAAAATCTGTGCTAATGAGTGTTTGAAATGCCAATACCAAATATTAGTCAGGAACAGGATCGGGAACCATGAAGATGCAAAAGCAGACAAGACATAATCACTGTTCTCCATAAACTCACAGCTTAAACGGGAGGTCTCACAATCCCTGCCTACATCTGAACCAGAATAGCCTTTCATTTGTTTATAGTTTGGAAGTCAACAAATACCTCTTTTGAATAAAGGGAGCATTTCTTAAAAAAATTAAAAAGGAAAACCTTGATCAAGTTAATGAGAAGGCTAAGCTTTCTTGAAAGAGTTATGTATTTTCCCCCTCCATTTTAAGACTAAAAGGAAATGGAGGGAATTGAGAATTTCCTCCTGGATCTTATCTTACTTTTTCCTCACTAGTCATCTTTAGCACTTTTCCTGATACTTAATATATATGTACAATGAACAGATGTTTACAATAATAAAATTGTTCTTTCCTATATGTCGCAATATCACTTAATATTTACCACTCTCCAGAAAAAAGCTTCTATGCATATCCTCTCTAAAATTACCACAAAATATCTCCAAGATTTTATACTTAATGCCAGGGATACCAAGATATTTAATTCAAAACCATTACCTAGTTTCTGTATAGCATGTTAGATTTTAAAAGCATCTCATTTTCAAAATAAGATGGTTTAAGATCACCTTAAAGACCCATATACAGTGACCTTTCTATGATGTTTGTGGGGAAAAATGAGCCAGAACCATACAGGTACAGTACTGTTTATTATAAACAATCACATAACAGTATAAGTGTGCATTTGAAGGATAATTGAAGCCTAGATATGACCATCAAAAGCATTACTTAAATAGAAATGGTTTCTTTTCTTGTTGGTTTGTGTTACATTAATTTGAACATATGTCAGGATCCCCTAGTCTTGTCATACAGTTCAACTGCTAAATCATAACAGGGGAAGACAAATTTGGAATGCACGTTATAGTTTGCTTTAGTTGTTGAATATACATACCAAATATTCAGGACACATTCAAAGTTAAGCAGGTGCTTAAAGCCTAGCAGGTGATACTTAGAAAATGCTTTGTTGTTGCTTCTAATCCCTTAGAAGACAATGAAAAGGGGATTCTAAGTGCTAGTGCTATGTTGTTGTTCAACTTTTCCTGATTATACTGAATGTAAAAAAAAAAATAAGGTAAATGTGTTGAAAAGTGACATCTTTATAGTTCCAAAGCACTGGCAGATAGTAAAATAACATCTAACTAAAACAAACTCCTCACATCTCAATTTTTAAACAGGAAAAGAACAGAAAACAGGCTTGAACAACACAACAAATGTTCTGGGTCTTCAGAGCAGGCCAAAATGTTGTTCTGTATTGCACGACCCTTGTCCATGGCAACCTTAAAAATGTTTGGCATTGTTGGTGCCTTTAAATGGCTTAGCATGTCCACTTTGCTAGTTATCCTATAAAGGAATGCTATTACATTTTTGGGGGATTGTCCATCTAAAGGAGTGAATGCTACATGAACAAACGTGGAAGTCTGAAAGAAAATGCTACATTACAACTTTGGACAATTCCTGCCAGCAAAAATGTTAAAAGTCTGATGAGAACGTGACTAGTTACAGTGACCGAAGGGTTAACTTTTCTGAATTTCACTCCTATCCTAATGCGGACTTTTGGTGAGACAGGACCAGTGATGATGCAAATGTACCACTTTAATCATTTGTTTTTCAAAGGAGTAACACAGGCTCTCTGGAATATTTTGTCCAGGTTTTACCAAACCTGCATGAACATCTAGGTTTGTTAACTTTTTTTAATGTAATTTATAAGTGACCAGTTATGATTAATTCTGTAAAGGTATAAGGTTATCAGAGGATGAGTTTGAGCATTTGTGAAGAGATCCAGAAAGCTATGTTAGGTCTCTGGAGCAAAAACCATGTGTATTTATGCTCTCACAGAGCTGTACTCATGTGAGGAAGACTCACCGTATTAATGCCGTTTCCAAGAAAAGAGAAATGGGAAAAAACTGGAAAACAGGGAAGGGGAGAAAACAAACAACTTTGGGGCACTGAAGAAAAGTAGAATTTCTCCAAGGAAGACTTCATCTCTTACCTGATTGCTCAGAAGAGAAGGGAAGTAAGTTTCAAATAGAGATAATTAAGAAATCAGTTATATTTTTTCGAGCGAAAGAAAGATCGTAGGTTTTGTTTTGTTTTAAAAGTTCTGAAACATGAAGATGTCTACACAGGTTTACTAACAAGACTCTCAGCTCCAGAGTCTGGGGCTGTCTCTGGTTTACATTTGATTCCACAGTACCTAACACTGTACCCGGCCTGTACAGGGGCACAATACAGAGTTGAACCAATGAACTACGGGGTTTTCTAAACACTAAATGGACCACCTAGTTTTAACGTAGAATGTACTATTTTCTATTGCATATATGAAAGTTTCTATTAGATAACACTAGTCCTTACAAGAAGTGACAGTAGGAGCTCACTCGTATATATCTTTTTCACAGGATCATGTCTACCTTGAATACAATTTAATGAGAAGCAACTATTGTGTGCACTAATGCTAAAAAGAGTTGAGATAGAATGCATAAATGAAGAAACCTCTTGGATTACTGAAGTACCGTCTGTTACAAGCATAATTACCTTCTTAAATTATACATTTTTAAGAGGGTGTGAAATATTTTTCGAAGCAATGCAGTGTTTAGTGGGTGAGAACTATATATATGTGTGTGTATATATATATATATATATATATACTTATATATGAAAGTACCTAGAAATGTGGGGAATTATCCTCTCCTCTATCATCCAAGAGTAAATAAGAACAGGTTTTTAATACCGTACATATATATTTTAAATGTCCCACTCTTCAGTACCACTGTTCCCCAGAAATTATAGGGGTCACGAAATTATTATTTTATTTGGGAAGTTATTTCCAGGTATGAGGCTTCAGCTTTATAAGAGGCTACCAGCTGTGACCAGCAGATCAAGACACTAAGTTATATAACTCATAAATTTGACCCTAGCAATGTGTCCAGATTTTCCCAAAGGCTTCACCACTGTTTTAGTCATCTGTAAATAGTACGCGCCAACATGTAGGGGAAATGAGGCAAAAGGAGTGCCCTCGCCACGAAGTATTCCAATGGGAATATGAGAAGGTGTGATTAAACATACGATGCTTTCGTCCAACCCGCTTACTTTACTGCTTTTTCCCCACCTACGATTTACACACACGGTCCTTTAGCTCACTATGCAGACTCGGACATCGCCAGATTGCTTGACTGGAATAACCGGGAAAACAGGGGCCCGATTTCCGACGTGGAGGTCTCCCTGGGTGATTCTTGGACGAAGTTCTGGTCTTATTTTGCAATTTGGGAATACAGCTTATTTCATGCTATTTTCATATGAATCTTCCCATGTATTAGACTCATTATTTTTATTTTTACAGCGGTAGATCATGAAGCAACATGACTCCCAGCTTCACAGTCTCTTTTCCAATCACAGTTTAAATCTGTTTCAAATGTACCATTAAAATCAGCACAACAGTCCAGTTATAGGTATTTCAACTTGGGAAATAAAATAATTTACGTGACTTATCTTACATAATTAATTTTACAAGCTTGGTGTGTGTGTGTGTTTTTTTTCCTTCTTGCCAATAGCACTAAAAGTGAGACTGTTTAAATGTTACGGGTTTGACTGTTTTCTTTTGTCTGAAAGTGTCACTTTCTCTAGTGCTGCTAGTACCCTGATTTGTAAGATATAAACAGTTTTGATATTTTTCTGGTAGGCCACACAACATGCCTTATAATGACACGGCTGACTAACGCTGCCTTTTTTTTCTGCCAACATTTTTCAAATTCTATTGACGCAATTGCCTTTCATTTATTTCCTCCCACAAAAGAAGCCGCTTCTTCCTATAGCATAGGCATGAAAAACCTGCTTTTCTAATCACGTTGTACTGGCATCAGGTTGACTAGAAATTCTAGCACAAAACAACTGGTGATAAAAAATATGAATAGTATATATTATAAGTATTTACATTATGTACTTAGAAACTTCAGTTAATTGCAAATCTGAAATGCTATATAAGCCACTGCCTGCAATAGCATCTATTCTATAGAAATGTAGGTTAAGACATGACTGGCTGTTAAGACACTGAAGAAATTGGGTTATGTGGAGAGCCCATCTGAGTCAGAACTTTGTCCAACCACTGCAGTGGTCCATGAAGATGAATTTCAATCCAGCAGGGGGTGCTCGTGACATCCTGGCGATGATACTCAGCTCCCCAGCCCTGGAAAGCAAGAACAGAGCCAAGAGTGATGGGGCCAGACTTTCGGGTCAGCCTCTAGAGGTGTGAGACAGGTGTCCGTGCACACAGAGCCCACACACCAGAGCAGCTCCTGAAACCCGGGAGAGCGTGGACTCCACCTTCCTGTAAGTACAGGACAATTTTTGCATCAACCAGACACCCAAAGATGAGTCCAAATCAGAGGATTCCCTCTGAGCTCACAGCTCAATACATGGACCTCGAGTGGTCTGGTCTCTAGTCACACTGGAAACACTGGCAAATCGTTTTCTCTTCCACAAGGGAAGGAGCCTGACTTTAAGTTTAATCCCTTCCTGCTGAAGACAGTGTTTTGCACAAAACAGATGCTCACTACAGACCAGTGAGTGGATCTGAAAGGTGTAAAGACAGAAGTGAGGGTGCCCTTGATTATTCAGGGTTGGCTAACAAAGCGTGTTTCTCCTCTCTCTCTTTTTGGCTCACTTTTAGCAATTTCCCATTTATTACCATTTGTGGGAGAGACAGTAAAAATAAATAAAAAATAAATTGGTTTATCTTTTTTCTCTGTATGTTATACATCAGTGACAAGTAATTTTTAAAAAATGAAGAGACATAACACATCACTGTTATTGGGAACAGTGATTATCTGTAGTTCTTAAAAAACTGGATTTCAACACAACCATCCTGCCTGATCACACTTTACAGTCGTGACCACAAGCCTCAAGTGCATCTCTGATGCTACCTGCAATCGAATGACACTCTCCCAGTCCCTGTGCTCTCGCACTCCCCCCACACCCCAAATGACTGCTCACTCCTGCTTCTGTTCCCTAAAATGGCTAACACCTACTCCCCAGTCTGTTTGCGAATGATAACCTTTTTTGAAAAAAATACTTACTTAAATTCAATTTAGTTAACATATACTGTATTATTAGTTTCAGGGGTAAAATTTAGTGATTCATCATCAGTTGCATATAACACCCAGTGCTCATTACATCAAGTGCCCTCCTTAATGCCCACCACCCAGTTACCTCATCCCTCCCCCCCGCCCCACCTCCCCTCCAGCAACCCTCAGTTTGTTCAGAGTTCAGCATCACTTATGGTTTGGCTTCCTCTCAATTTTCATCTTATTTTAACGAGACATGAAGCAATCAGAAGAGTTTCCACAGCACCTGCGCCAACATCCTCAGCCTTTCTACTTCTCACCACAGATTAATTATCCATCTTCCAAATAAGCCAGTCCATCCAGTTGTTCATAAGGCTCTACTGCCTTCCCAAGGACTTCATTCCAGCAAATCTCCCCATTGTCTCCTGCAATATTTTGTTTTCTGCTGGATCATTCCCATCAACATAGGAACATGCTGAAATATCTCCCATCTTCAAAACACTTCACTTGGCCCTACCACTCCCACCACTTACTGCCCAAATTTTTGACCCCCTTTCTAGCAAAAACCCTCAAATGAGTTGTCCATACTGGCTGTATGGACAAGTCCTCTCCTTCCATTCTCTCTTAATTCCATTCTGATCAGCATTTAAACCCCAGCCTTCAGTGAAACTATTCCTGCTAAGATCAAAAAGGACCTCTACATGCTAAAATTAATGATCAGTTCTCAGTCTTCCTGTTCCTTGGGCAGTACGGGATCTAGTTCGTCCCCTCTCCTCCTCAACATACTTTCTTCTTTTGGTTTAAAGAGCAACTTACTTTTACTTAGTTTTACTACTACATTGGTTACTCTTTCTCAGTTTTCTTTTCTGATTCTTTCTCTTTCCCCCTATCTTCTAAGGTTGAAGCGTCCTAGGGCTCCGTCCTAGAAGCCCTGTTCTTCTCTGTTAAACTCACACTGTTGGCAATTCCATCCAGACTCATGGATAAGTACTGTGCAAACGCTTACAATTCCTCAACTGACATCTCCAGCCCAGCCCTCTCTCATTAAATCCAGACTCGTACATCTGTCTACTCAGCATCTCCGCGCGGATGCCTGTCAAACACCACAGAGTTATTCTCACTAAAACTGAAGTCTTAATCTTCTATCTACACCTGACCCACCTGCATCTTCTCCCTCCCGGGTGGAGGCAACTTCATCTCTCTAACTCCTCCTTTCACTTACCCACCCCCCCACATGGAATCACCTGTGCAACTCAGAATCCTTCCCCTTCTTACACCTTCTATGAGGATGCTCCTCCTACTGGGCGCAAAGTTCAACTCTCATCTGAATACTGCAATGGCCTCCAAGCTGGTCTCTCGGCTTCCATCCTTGCCTGCATAGTATCTGCAACCCACATAGCAGCTATAGTGATCCTTTACAAATATAAGTCCGATTATGAAATTCTCGGCTCAAATCCTTCCAGGGGCTCCCCATCTTGTTAGAGTAAAAGCTGAAATCCTTGCGGTGGATCTCATCCCCCCACCTCCACCCCCGGCTCCCTGACTCATGCTCCTGACTCTGGCACCCTGGCCTCCCCGCTCCTACAAATGCCAGGGGGTAAGCTCTTGCAGTATGGTTTGCCCTTCCTCTGTGTCTACTGCTTCCCCTCCACATACCCTTATGACTTAACTCCCTCATCTCTTTCAAGTCCCCATGGAGGCCCACCATACCCATCTTTTTAAAACTTGCAACCTACCCCTACGCCAGCACTCCAATTCCCCATATTCTGCTCTACGTTTCTCTTTCCATTCACATTCTTTATTAGAGCTGTTGTTTAGTCCCTGTCTCTACCTACTGGAATATTGAGTCCATGAGGGCAGAGACCTTGAGGAATCACTGATGGATCCCAATACCTAGAATGGCACCTGGTGTGCTCCATAGTAGGTGCTCAGTAATATCTTATTGACTGACCGACTGAGTCCTGGAATCAGGAAAAAATCAAAGATAAAAGATGCCTCAAAGATGATCTAGTCCATCACCTCTCAGTGGTAGCCACCAGTCTTTAGTCCTATAATTTCTTTTTTTTTAATTTTAATAATGTGTTTTATTCAATTTGATCTATCTAAAATATTATCCTATCAATACATAATTGATATGAAATTATTAATGAGATATTTTACATTATTTTTATATGCACTGTCTTCCCCCCCTGCCCCGGTTTTGTTGAGATATAATTGATATATACTGTGTACGTTTTAGGTGTACACATAATGATTGGATATACCCAAGATGATCACCACAATACATTTAGTTAACATCTATCCTCTCACATACTTACACATTTTTTCCCCGTGATGAGAACTTTTAAATTTCTTTTAAACGGATTGTCTGTTGTGATATTTGCAATATTACTGTTTTCTGTGAATTGTATAGCTTTATGAAATAGCTCTAGCTGATCTTAGGATAATCAGATGTCCATGCAAGCTTATGTGAGTGAAATAATTACCTCTGACGTACTGGCATTTCATCCTAATTTAAAAACATGGACCTGGAAAAAATAACTATGAGTCAGATGACTTTTCTTTAACGGCAATTTAATGCCCTCTGCTGGCTCCAAAGCATCAGAACATTTGGAAAGATTTCCAGGTATTTGCTAATAGCTTTACAATATAAAAATGCTTTTAAAGCTTAGCAGTAAATTTGCTTTGTCATCATGAAAGAAATGGTTTCAAAAAGCCATTTTTAATTGGAAACTATATTCTTGATGTTATTTTTAAAATATTTACTAAAATTATAAATACAATAAAAATTAGAGTATAGAAAAATAGGACAATTCTTTCTCATGGTAATCTTAAAGAATTAATAAATTTTACTTTGAAAAAAACCTGGAACAAGCCATCCTGATTTCTTGGATGGATATGCAGCAGTGTGAAAACTGTCACACAGACCCAGAGTTTGATAAACAAGCTCAGATTTTGAATTATCAGAATTATTTGCAAGTGCTTTGCAAGAGATGGAACAGCCAAAGACTTCAGCGTGCAAATCCAGTTGGTTTTCCTTCCCACTAACTTCCTCAGTTCTCCGAAACCTTCACATCAACGTTAGTAAGATCTAATTCGAGAAATTCAATAAATATTCATAAACAGAACATCTACTACTCGCTCAGAGTTAATCATACCCAACATAATATTTCTATCCCAAGTTGTTTATGCCTTAATAACAGCACTTAATGACACTAATGTACACCACCACCGTCTATTCTGTAGCTTATTTATAAATATGATCTCCTCTGTTGGCCTGTATGCTAAGAGTAAGGGCAATGTTGTAGTCAATGCAGATACATTCAACAACATTTATCGAGAGACAGCAGTGCTCAGGAATTTGAGAGATGAAAAAAAAATAAAACCCTCTGTGGCATCAAATCCTATAAAATTATCATTGTCACTTCATCTTCTGCATGAAAAAAAAAATCAGATTACTACCTTAATTTGTTCTTCCTTCAAAAGTAAAACGCTTAAGAATTTCCTTGTAACTGCTAAACAAGAGAGTTGATACTCCTAGAGGAGCTCTTCTTGGAAACAACGGAGCCGAGTTCCAAGAGAAACCCCCCCCCAAAACAACAACAACAAAAACCCGGTTGCCTACTTGAACTGGTGGAATAGCTGCCACAGCACCCAAAGAATGCTCTGGGGGTTCTTTTATTTTGTTTTTCACCTTCCAGCTTACTCTCTGAAAGCAAGCACGCCTCACCTTAACAAAGCTCATGCGGATAGTGCACATCTTAGTCAGCTCATAGACGACTTCAAATCCGTGGTGAACCGACTGAGCCAGCAGCTGAGCAAAGAGCTGGTTGTTGAAGATCTTGAGACTGCAGCCGCTGGGGATCTTGCAGACGGTGGCCGGGTGGAAGCCGTGCTGATAGTTGCAGTTCCGGCTCTGTACAAAGATGCTGCTGTCGCTCACACACTCGGCGTACACCTCGCCCCCGACGTAGTATAAATGCACACCTACGAGGTAAACACAGCATCGCTCAAGCACCAGCGGCGTGTTTAGTTTAGGATTCCCTTCTCATTGCCACCTCAAGGTCTGTGACTATCTACTGTGAAATTAATTTCTATCCCAATTTGTTTATGCCTTTATAACTTTATAATTATGAATTTTGAATTAATGTTAATATCACCAGCCGTAGTAAGAAGTGTGATCGAAATGCCCACTTGTTCTGATGATACTCTGTGGTTTTTTTTTCCATGAGTCCATTTAAAAGTGGATTGCACCCCGTGTTTACAATGATTGCCAAGGCTCTCGTGTACTGCTCCTTCCGTCACTCTCGATCTCATGCTTAAGTAAGCACTCATAATATTAGAGGCAAAATAAATACACAATGCAGAAAACATCACAGAGTCCTTCGGGTCCATGTATCAACAATAAAATAGAAATTGGGCACAGATAATATCGTGGAAATGTCACTGACGTGCATACACTAAACCCACTTCAGAGGAAACAATAAATGAAGTTTACGTTTTATTCCAACAACAATTACGAACCCATTTGTCTTAATAAATACCTCAAGGAGATCTATTTCATTTTAGAACTTGTCACCTGCTATTATAGATCACAGAAATAATGCCTGTATTTTACTTAGGAACAACGAAATTCTTGCCACCTTTTCAGATATAAAGACTCACCATCAAAATGTCGCTTATTTTAACTTTACCTCACATTTTTGGACTTAAGAAGCAAAACACCATCCTGAGATTGGTGCTGTCCACACTAATTTTCATTCCAGATTAAACCTGAGCTGACTCTCTCCCTCCAAGTGTCTGGGTTTAAGACTTAACATACATTTATAGCCTTAAGGGACTGGGGTTAGATAAAACAAAGATGTTCTAGTCTAGTGAACATTAAATCCCAGCACAGGTTTCCTCCAGCCTTTCAGCAGAAACCAAATTCGCCAGCATTAAGGGTCAACGTGATTGTAAATACAATCGCCATGCGGTCACAAGGGGTTCATAGAAAGGATCCAGAATACATGTAGACAGATAGATTTTGGGTCCCCTCAAACTGAAAATACTCATTTTTAAATAATAGAATTTACAGACCTCTGGGGGCTTCTGCATAGCCGTGCATTTAGGAAACCTCACTGAGAGCGCCAGCTGCTGGCTGCCCCTGTCAGGTTCTCAGGAGCACCCGAGGCGATGGTGCATTAGCTGTGACTGCCTCCCAGCGTATTTATTGTTTCCGTTTCCCATCTCCTTTCCCTTAATAGAATTTTAGAAAAGAATGGTTTTCAGCACTGCGAATTCCAGCCACGTCACTGAGGAGACTGGTCAGGAGTCACAGAGCTGAAGCACAGCACTGGATGCTCAGTCCAGGCGGGACGCTCCTCACCGACTGGGACATGGCTACCCGGCTGCACTGACCCATTGGAGGGGAGGCTGGGGCAAACACAAGCAGACTTCCTTTCCCAGTCCCCGCGAGCTCCCGGGCGGGCGGGGCGGGGGGAGGCCTGCCCCTGCGGTGGTTATGGTTGTTCAAAAAGAGGGTGAGCCAGGGTGGCAAGAGCCAGAGAATGAGATGGCCCAGTGTTCAGGATGTATTTGAATTAAAGGACCTTCAAATTTATAATCCTCCCAGAACCTAAGTTGAATCGATAGGATTTTTGTTATCTGACTCTGGTCAATAATTATTAGGGGATGATTTTCAGTCCTGTGAAAGTATTATCCGCAACCACAGACAGAATAAGGAAAGCAGAGAAGAGTCTGGGCAGACAGGCAGGAGTTTAGTGTCCTGAGCAAACAGAGGGGGCAGAGCCAATGGGATGAGCACATGGAGGCCTAAGTCGGCTCTGAAGGGCAGGACAAGGGTGGAATTCAACCCCATTGTGAAGGAGGCTGGGCTTTGGCTAGAGACAGTGGCATCTAAATAAAAGTCAAGGGCGCCTGGGCGGCTCAGTCGGTTAAGCGACTGCCTTCAGCTCAGGTCATGATCCTGGAGTCCCGGGATCAAGTCCCGCATCGGGCTCCCTGCTCAGCAGGGAGTC